AAAATCAGGGGAGGCTTTAAGAGAGGAACAGAGCTTGAATTTGGCCTTGAAGAATGAGTAATATTTTGACAGACCCAGAGGGGGAAAATGTTGGGAAAAAGGAACATGTTTAGAAATCAGTAAAAGAGCAGTTTGACGAAGATGTAAGTTACACCAAGCAGGTAGTGTGAATTAAAGCCAAAACAGGAAGTTCAGGGACAAATCACGGAGCACTTTGAATACCACATCTGCAACCTACTGTATGCCTGACAGTGTATTACTCATCTTAATACATTATTTAACATTCACAACAATTTGGGGGTTTTTTAGAGGCGATCTGCAAAATTTAAAAAAATTTTAATTACAGTTAACATGCGATATTATATTAGTTTCAGGTGTACCACATAGTGATTAGACATCTACATAACTTAGAAAGCGGTCACCCATCTGACACCTTACAGAATTACAATGTTACTGGCTGTATTCCCTGTGTTGTACTTCCCATGCCCGTGACTGTCACAATTTTGCAAAACAAATATTACTATCCTGATATTACAAGTGAGGAAATGGAAACTCACAGAAGAGGGCAAATTGATAAGTTTTTGTCCTACATTGATACCATTATAGCATGACCCCATTCTTAAATCATTAGAAATGCTTCTTACACAATATTTGTGTTGGTGTTGGCTGCATAAAACTGTATCATAGTTCATAGTTTTTATAATATTATGTATGGCAACATTTTTAACATTGTAAATAATGCTATGGTGAATGTGTCTGTGAATCAATTTATCCTCCTATCAAAACCTGAATATGCTCAAGTCCTTGATAGTGACAAATTACATATCATTATTATTTTGTATTGAATAATTAGTAAAGCTTAACATGTTTTAAGTGTCTGTTTGCCATCTATGTCCTACAAGTGCCCGCTTGGTTCCTTGGCTCCGCTATCATTTTGAGGGTCAGCTAAGTTTATCAGTCTGTATGAGCCTGTTATATATAACAATGGTTAACGTTTTGCCATGATGATGGTTGGGATGTTTTGTTTCTTTTTCTGCCCCTTGACCAAGAAACAAACTTAGAATCCAAGTCAGCGTGTTGGTTGGACTATTGTCACACAAGAGCCGCTGTATGACCAGGGCCTCGGGAGTGGAGGTGATCTCTGCTCCAAGGGGAAACAAATTCCCAGTTCAGGAAACCAAATAAATATACTCTCATATGATTTATTTGAGGTAGTTTCACCTCCCCCCCAGCATAAACATTTCTAAATTTTCTATGCTAATCAAGGAGAAAAGAGTGGTGGCTGAAATTCATGCAAACGCTGTATCATTCCATTCTAAATTATGTGTTCATCAGGTTGATGTCAAAAGTAGTGACAACTGCCCTGGTTGGTGGCTCAGTTGGTTGGAGTGTCATCCCGCACGCTGAAAGGTTGCAGGTTTGATCCCCTTTCAGGGCCCACACCTAGGTTGTGGGGTGCATACAAGAGGCAACTGACAGATGTTTCTCTCTCACTTCAGTGCTTCACTCTCTCCCTTCCACTCTCTCTAAAATCAATAAACATCCTTGGGTGAGGCCTAAAAAAAAAGCCGTGCCACTTTCCCAAGGGTAGAGCTGAGAAATGGTGGCCACTTTGGCAAACTGTTGCAGTGAAATACCCTTCTGGGTCTAGGTGCTACCTGGCTGCTCAGGGGACGACAGCCTCAGGGCTTCCAGGCTCGGGAAAACCAGGACACCCAGAGGAATGGGGTGAACCAGAGAACTTTTCCAAGCAGAGATTTGCCTTCCTGACTCTGTCCTGAATATGAACAGTTCCTTGCCTATCATAACCAGGCCCAGAAACACTTGAGATGGGCTAAATGAACAGGGAGATGGTTTTCTGTGGCTTGTTGCTACTGACACCTCATTTACGTTAAGATGGCTAAAGGGGGTCTGTTTCTTCCTGCTCTTTTAAGTTTAAGAGTCAAAATAAAGTTTAAAAACTGCCATGGTAGGGTGTGCCTCTTTTCATAGGAGAAGGTTTGTAGCTCCAACCTCCATCTCCCAAGCATACTTCGTACTTTCCTCTTATATGCTAAACTATTTATCATCTTATATGTAAACTCCATGGTATTCAACTATTGATTCTGTACTTATTTATAACTTCTAATTTGCCATTGACTTAATAACTTCTTCACACCCAAGTTCATGCTTTTCTCATAATATTCCTTCTACCATGCAGCCCTATTTCCTGGGCAGTAGCAAGGTACGGAGAGTTTTAAAGTAATAGGTGACACATTCAGAGCCATGTGATATGCCCTGGATGAACTTCAGGGAGGAAGCCCAAGCTGGGGAACCGGTCAGGTTCTATCACATTTTTCAACAATGAGATGGGCTCTGACCATTTCTCCCTGAAACTTTCTCCCCAGTCCAGACCTTTCCTGGACTCCCAGAAAGTGTGCCCCACAAGGTAGCATCTTCTTTTTAGAGAGGAGCAAAATACCCCACTTCTACATTTGTGTCTTGGCCAGACTTCCCTTTCTCTGGGAGAAAATGAATTATTACTAGCACCTGGCTTAAGTGTGCATGCATGCCAGCACTAAGTATGCCAGCAGTGATATCTATCAGAGTTTAAGTAATGAGGAGAGCCATTTCCAGAGAACCTTGACTTTTCAGATTGTTCCCTGATGAAGTCCAGGGTCTGGAGGAAACAAGGTCAAATATGCTGAGGCAGTTAAAGAGAAAGAAAGCTGGCCTCAATGGTAAAGCCACCTGCAGCCACAATGAAAAGTGCACCCACAGAAAAACCCTGAACCTTCTCCCTTGTAAAGCAAAGGAATTGGGCAAACCCAACATGCAGAGAAAGCCTGAAGAGAAGTAGACTTCCCTTGCACATGCCAACCATTTCTGAGCCATAAGAAGATAAGCTGTCTATATCTGAAAGCATCTAGGCTCGCCCTGGCCTGGTGGCTTAGTTGGTTGCAGTGTCATCTGGCACACCAAAAGACTGAGGGTTTGATTCTTGGTCAGGGCACATGCCTAGGTTGCGGCTTCAATCCCTGGTCCGTGTGCCTGAGGGAGGCGACGGATTGATGCTTCTGATGTTTCTCACATCCATGTTTCTCTGTCTCACTCTCTCCCTTCCTCTCTCTCTCTCAAATCAATAAACCTATCCTCAGGCAAGGATTTTAAAAAAAGAAAACATCTAGTGTCAATCGAAAGTTCTGCACTGGACAGGGAGCCAAGATTGGAATGGAGGTACCTGGTGACTGACCAGAGAGTTGGCCTGCAAGGAACCCCTCAGTCCTCCTCCCAAGCAATCCCAGGTGCCTGTTTTCCTGAGAGACCAGTCGCTGGCACACGAGTCCTTATTTTCTTCTCTTTCCAGAGGAAGTATTCTGGATATTGTTTGGGAAGGCACAGGCATAGGGTGCGGAGGCTGGGAGAATGCATAGCCTGCTTGGTTCTCAGCTTACTCCTACAGTATGACTCCCACAGGCCTGGAAAAGAGGGGGAAGGGGGACATGAGGGACAGGTCAGTGAGGTCAGAGCTTCTCAGGAACCCAGGGTTCTTCTCCATTTCCTATACTGTTCTTAACCTCCCCCTGTCTATTTTGTTCCTACCATTTGTGCTTCCTAATCCCTGCACCTTTCCCCCTATTCTCTCCCTTCCCCCTCTCAGCTGATAACTCTCCAAATGATCTCCGTATCTGTCATTGCATTCCTATTCTGGTTGTTTGCTCAATTTTGTTGTTTGTTCGTTTAGGTTCAGTTGATAGTCATGATTTTTGAACTAAGTGCAGGGCAGGGGATTGCTGGAGGGAAGGGGAGTACTGGGTGAGGGGGCAAAAGGGAAAAATTGGGGCAACTGTAATAGCATAATCAATAAAATATACTTAAAGAAAAAAAAAAAAAGAACCCAGGGTTCTCCGCAGGGAATACGAGTTTGGACTCGAGCATCACACTTCTGAGCCCAACTCCTGGCGCCGCCACTTACTGGCTGCTGTGACTACAGGCAAGTGATTTAACCTCTCCATATCTCACTTTTCCCCTCTTAAAGGGGGATGAAGAATGGACTATCCTCCTCACAGGGTCACAGTGAGGATTATAATAAAATGACTCCTGTGAGCTGGCTTGCAGTGGTATCTCCACACCCGTCGGCTATCCGTGCTCCATACAGCCGTTTTTCCTGCTTCTGGGCGAAAGCGCATGTCTGTGCTTCCTGCCTTTTTTTCCATGAAAACAATTTCAAAATTGCAACCCGAAGAATCTCCAAAACACCCCTCCCACGCTCTGGAAGGTGGGCAGAGGAATGGGATGGCTCACTGGTGTCCAGCGGTGACGGACCCTGCTGGGCGTGTCTACGGGCCGAACCTCGTGCGCGCGTGCAGGTCTACACATAGGTGAACCCGAGTGCGTCTGCTCCACCGCCGGCCCGGAGCTCCGGCGAGTTCAGCCGTCCCGGGTTAGCTCCGCGGAGCTGGTGGGCGGGGCAGAGCCATTGTTCCGCCACTGGCCTGGCCCCCGCGCCTGCTGGTGAGGGCGGCGGGCTGCGCCAGCCCTGTGCGACCCGGACCCCGGGTTTGAAGCCAAGTCTTCCCCCTCACGTGTCTCTGGGAACGGGAAGGAAAGCGTGATGGAGTTGTGCCTACTGGTCTGCCCCGTGGCCTCCCTACTGTTTCCTACGAAACTTCCCCAGTGCCCATCCAATGGTTTAGTGCTGGGGGGTCAGTCCTGGGCTGGTACCCCCCCCCCCCCATTCCCGGACTGCGTCCTTCCCGTCTTCCGGAGAGAATGCTCCCGAGTGCCTCTGAGGCCGCGGGGTGCCGGACAGAGGCCCAGCGGCCGGTGGAAGAGAAGCCAAAGAGAAAGGGATGGGAGGGGGAGCAAGGAGCTCGCGGCGCGGGGAACAGCAGATTGCGCCGAGCCAATGGCAACGGCAGGACGAGGTGGCACCAAATTCCCTTCGGCCAATGACGCTCCAGAGTTTACAGAAGCCCATTAGCATTTCCCCAGGGGCAGGAGCCGCGGTGTAGCTGCAGCATCCAGTTTTTGCTCCTCCAGCCCCTCGCACGCTCGTCTCTGTCTCCTCCCCCTCTCCGCTCTTACAGGGCTCCCACGGCTGACCCACTCTGCGCACTTTGCCCCTGTTGGCTGCGAGTAAAAGGGGTGTGAGGAAATACGGGGCACGGTCAGCCCCCTGCCAGCTCTAGCCTTTAAATCCCCAGCCTTGGGAGATCTACGCACAGTGGATCCAGTCCGAACACCTATCCAGCGCTCACGGAGCTAGAAGGATTCGGAGCGCAACGCCGCCTATCGCCACGCAAAGGCGGGCTCGGCCGCCTAAGTCTGCTGTCCCGAAATCCGCTCCTCAGCCTCAGCCCTGGGAAGGTGAGCCCAGCATCAGAGAGTCCAGATGCCAGCCCACTTGCTGCAGGACGAGGTGAGTTTCCCAGCACTGGCTCCCAGGCCGCGGGGTCGCCGGCCCTGGCTGGGCTACTAGGGAACTCGTTGGTGATGGAGGAGTTGAGATCTCCGCGGAGGACATAGCCATCTTTTGCGAGTTGTTCTGCCTTCATTTGTTGGGAATGTTGATTGTTATTTGCGGACTCGGTTCCCGAACTTTTGTTTCTCAACCTTAAAAGGAAAGCCTAGTGGTTCGGGTACCCTTGTGTGGGTATGTATCCCCTGAGAGTGTTCCATCGTGTGTCGGAAGGGGCAAAATTGTTTCACTCCTTCCTATTTGCCCCTTCACCTTGAGGTTTCACCCCCCTCCCCACCTATCTGCACAGTTCCTGGGGACTTCCTTTTCTTCCATCTAGGGTAGACCGCCCTCAGTTAACCTGGGTCCTGGGGACAGGGTCTGGGCCAGTCCTGCACCCTTCCCCCAGCTGGATTAGACAGTGAAGTGGCCCCTGCTGCCTCCACGTGCAGTCTGCTCTCTCCCGACGCTCCGCTCTCTCCCTTCCAGATGGCTAGCTCCTACACCACCACCACCACCATCACAGAACCCCCCTCCAGGAAGCTGCAGAATGGGGACGGCAAGTTGGAGAAGAACCTCCTATACGCGGAAGAAGACATCCGTCCCGAAATGAAAGATGACATCCACGACCCAAGCTACAAGGATCCCGAGGGGCCGAAGCCCAAGCTTGTGTATGTTTGGAGGAACATCATCCTTATGTCTCTGCTACACTTGGGAGCCCTGTATGGGATCGCACTGATCCCCACGTGCAAGGTCTACACCTGGCTCTGGGGTAAGAGTTTTTCTTGTCCCGTTGACCCAGGACCCCAGATTCTCTCCACTCTTTAAGGAGGTGGGAGCGTACAGGGAACACAGGCACCAGGCCCTCTGGGTCCAGGTTTTCCCAAAAGTTTCTGAGAGGCTGCGTGGGCTGGGGACAGAGCGCGGGGGCACGGGGAGGCCGGAGTGGCCTTTCATCTGGGTGCTGGGAGGGAGCACTGAGACCTTTCGCTGCAGGCTTTGAAGGGAGTAGGCCTGCGCCAGAGAGTCAGCTTTCCCTGAAAGAGCTTTTCTGTTTCAAGTCATTTGTTTGGCTGCTTGTCCCAGCCCTGCCAGCCACAAAAGAATCAAGGCGCCTACCTGGGAGGCACGGGAACAAGGGATGGGACCAGTGGTCTTGGGGGCCACAGGGCGGTGGGGGGGTAGATGCTGAGCACAGTGTGGGACAGCAACAGAACCTGCTCAGGATGAGAGTAGGGGAGGGAGGAACAGAGAGGTGTTACCCACAAAATTATTTGCTCTGACCCTTGGCCCACCAGCCTCCTTTGTTAGAGGGAAGATGGAGGCTCCTGTGGGACCCAAGTTACCCAGATGTGGTGCTCTGTGACTCTCTGTAGATCTCCAGGGAACTGTGTGCACTACTCAGCAAAATGTCCTCTGGGTGAAATAGGCTGAGAAAATGTTTCATGCCCCACTCCCCATCTAACCTACTCCAGCCCCTGTCTCCTGGTGCCCTACAGTCTCTCCTTGCCAGGACAGGCAGACCAGGCCAGAACAGAGCCCCAAGCAGCCCTAGCCTTGAGGCTGCCACAGTGAGGGAGACAGTTCCCAGTTCTGTCCCTGACCTGTCCTTAGCTCAGATTGTTCAGGGATACATGGGTATGAGCTGATAGCAGGGCCCTGACCCCTGGATCCACACGTGCGCTTTGCAGGCATTTTCGCCTCTGCTGCCATCAGCCTGAGTGCAGCCTCTGAAGACCCAGGGGCCCCACATTGCCACCCTCTGAGGGTGCTGAGCAAGAGCCCTTTCCAGGAAACAACGTTTGGGTTTCCCGAGTAGTCTTAGATGTGGGGTGCTTGCTGACAGCTGCACTCTTGGAGGGTAGTTATGTAGAAGGGCCGGTAGGCCAAGTTTTAACTGATCCTCCTAGGCCCTTTTACATCGAAAGGCGGTGGGATCTGGTCCCTAGAGCTTCATGTCAGGGAATCCTCTGAGTGCCTCCAATGGTGAAATGCGACTGGGTGGTCCCCTCTCTCAGGATCTCAATCTTTCTGAGTCCCAATCTTTTTAGGATCAGGAAGGTTACAGGTGTGTCGCTGCTGGAGCTGGCCAGGCACAGGAAAACAGTTCATCTGCAGATTGGGATGGACTCTCTTGTTTGTGAGGGGACAGGGACATCTGTTCTCTAGCCCCTCTGAGAGCCGAACCTCAGCTGCAGTGTGAGGACTCCCCAGGGAAACTGTGGACTCCTCCCTCTACCCCTCCTCCCCAACAGAGGGGTCTTCACAAGGTGTTCTGTTGCCTGTAAGCCCCTTCCAGCCTCAGCACCCCCTGCAGGTCAGGTTAAGTCCAGATTTTGGCCAGGCTGCTTTTGTTTGCTCCCCACCCTGGGCTACTGGTGCAAGGGGCAGAGTGCTGTCCCCAAACCAAGGCTGTGCCCTCTGCCTTTTTGTGCCCTGCTCAGGAGTGTGCATTGTGCTTCTGGACAGAGCTATGTATCACGCAGAGACTGGGTGGTGACCTTTTGTACTCCTTCCCCTGGGACCTGTGGCGGATGGCTTAGCTGACTGAGGGACGATCTGATAAGGGGACATCAGAACTCCTCTGTCTTAAGGAACAAGGAAGGGAAAGGGACAGCCAGAGGTCCCACTCTCAGAGTTTAGGAGCTTGGCCACACCTTTCCTTTTATTCCCAAGGACAGTGTTAAATTAACAACTGGTTGTGATTACGGCATTTCTTATGACTGAGCAATTTGGGGAACCTCAGAAGGTCCCTTAGGGGCAGTCTGAAGGGATATTTCTGGCAACTCGGAGGGCCAAGGGGCAAAACTTCTGGTCTCTTAGGGCCAAAGCTGTGAGATTTTGTTTAACAACCAGTTTGGACATTAGTAGAGAATGAGCCTCTAACTGCTGTAAGGCCTGGCTGATAGGCTGAGAAGGGCTGATAGAAAAGCACCAGAGTGCCTGGGTTCTTTTCTCAGTTCCCCTGTTAGCACCAGGGTTTCCGCGCCTTCTATGTTAACTTGCCAGGGTCACCTCTGTGGTGTGAAGCCACCCCAGTAAGCTTCCTTGGTTCTCAGCCAAGTGCTTCTGCTTTTGTGCCCAAAGCCATTTTCCTTCCTCCTCATTGATTCGTGGGGCTGTGGCTCAACTGTCATTTTTCCAAGCGCAGATGCAGGCAGATACTGCATCTGGGAAGATAACTGCCATGTGGCTGGAGGCCAGCAGATCACCTGGGGCCCTGACTTCCACGCAGAGGGCTTAGAGACAGAACTTTCACTGGAGTTGACACTGGCTCCATGTCTGTCCTTGGGATCCTGGACTGTTTAGGAAACTGCTATCTATGGCTGAAGAACACAGGACAATTTGTTACAATGTGTGGTGTCTCCAACTGCAACTAAATTCTGCAGTCACTGAAGACCCATTGTTTCTAGCTGTTTCCCTGGGAGTGAAACACTGTCTGTCAACAGCCCACTGCTCTACCAAGGCCTTGTTCAGCCCCTGCCTGCTAGAGCTGCCGAACAGAGGAAGGTGGGCACTCCCAGCAACCCGCTTCCCAGCTAGAGATTATAGCTGGCAGGCCTCCGGGAAGGTGAGGGTGGACAGTATTGGGGTGCTCTGCTGACAGTTTTGAATGTATCCCATCATTGTCTAAATTAGCCTTGCCGGAGAGAGTAGGGGCTGACAGGGGCCATCGGAAAGGAGAGACACAGGACCTGTGTGCACACCCTGGGGAGCTGGATGGGATGGCGGGACCATGAACGCTTGTTGACAGAAATCGTAGTTTTAAACCATGGCTCCATTTCTTACTAGACTCATGACCAGAGATAACACAACCGTTCTGACAGTCTTTTTCTTCATCCATGAAGTGAGGATATTAAAGCCATTCAAGGAATCCAGAGAATCATAGAATATAAAATTCGTGGTTACGCTTAAGGCACGGTGCAGATGTGACGTAGGGGCAGGGCGCACTTCCCCCGATGCTGCCACACTGCCTGTGAAACTATTGGAAGGCTTTTGTACCAGTTGGTAAACAGCCAGAGTTCTGAGCCCCCAAGTGTCCTCTACAACTCAGAGCCCCTCCAACTGGTGAGCGCCCAGACCAGACTTGCTTGTGTGTCCTATGCGCTGCGGGAGCAGTCTGTTGTCCTTAAAATTTGGAGGGAGCTTAGCTGAAGGTCAAAGGAGATGAAGGACCTGGGATAAGGTTCCCCGTGACTGAGAGTGACCAAGTGGCTAGGTAGTAAGCTCTCTCTTCTCCATCCTGCCTTTCTAAACTTCCTGGGACTCCTTAGCTTATTCCAGTTCCTAGGTGGAGAGGATGAGAGGTGATGGTATTTCTCAAGTAATAAACCCGGAGAGACCTAAGAGACTAAGGTGTCCCTGCACTTTAGGGTAAAGCAAATGCTCACCCGAAGACTCTGAAGACACAGACGACATACAGAGAACCACATGTGAATGGTTCCCCAGATTATTGACCTCTCACTGTTTCTGCCTGGTAGGGGTTTTCTACTATATGATTAGTGCCCTGGGCATAACAGCAGGAGCCCATCGCCTGTGGAGTCACCGGAGTTACAAGGCTCGGCTGCCCCTGCGGCTCTTCCTGATCATCGCCAACACGATGGCGTTCCAGGTAAGAAGCTGGCGCCACTTAACTCTTTCCTCCACTCTGTTAATGGCCAGGGGCAGAATGGGGGAGGTCTGCACCTGCAGAGAAGCAACACCTGGACAATCATGTCACTTCCTCCTCCTTGTGGTGCAGGCCCAGTCCATAAGTCTGTAAAGCCTGAGCACACTTCTGAGTCACTAGGAAAGGGAAATAGGGGATGAATAGGAAATACTCTATTTATCCTAAGGTTCCTCTGTTATCACATAACCTGACTACTGGAATGCTTCCTCCTAAAGGCCTGTAATGCATAAGCCTTAGTGTACGTGCTGGTTTGCTGGGCAGACCTTGGACAACAGATTCACCATTTTAGGTGAATATCTTAGGACTCCACCAGGATGGGATTGAAGTGCATGCTTCACGGACTCAGGTAGTGGGAGAAGCACTTCTGTAGCACCGAGTGCAGGCCTGGTACTATTCTAGGCACATGACATAGGTTACCTGATTACATTCTCTTAGGAGGTAGGTGCTATAATGATTCCCATTTTACAGATGACAAAATCATATCACTGAGAGGTTAGAGAGACCAACACTATGGTCCTTCCTTGGGCTGCCAGGCTGGCTAAGTTAAGTATGGAGGTTTATTGAGGCAGAAAGTTGATAGCAGAGACAGAGTGAAGGACATTGGGGAAGGGAGCTCATAGCTATTACATGGTAGCAATGGGCAAAGGATAGCATGTGATGTGGGGCTTAGTTTGGAGCAGAGGGAAAAGAGATGCATTCAAATGTGTCCCCTTCTCCAGGGCAGTATTCCAGGTACTGACCACAGTTGCATCATCACCTGTGCCACAGTACTTTGTATCCTGAGCATTCCTGAGACTGGGGCAAAGATGAGGAAAAGATATTGGTACAACCTTTAAGGGATAGAAAGAGCCTTGGCTGGTTTGGCTCAGTGGATTGAGTGTCAGCCTGCAACTGCCAGGTCACCAGTTCAATCCCCAGTCAGGGCACATGCCTGGGTTGCGGGCCAGTCCCCATCGGGGCATGCCAGAGGCAACCGATTGATGCCTCTCTCACACATCAGTGTTTCTCTCCTTCTCTTTCTCCCTCCCTTCCTGCCCTCTGAAAATAAATAAGTAAAATCTTAAAAAAATAAAAGAAGGGATGGAAACAGTCCCAGAGGAACCCAGAGGTCATTTGGGAAGGTGGCCAAGCTCATGATTTATATGCCGAGCCTTGCTGAGTTGTGAGCCAGCTCTTGCCAAGGCGTCAGAATGGAGCTCCCAGCAGCTTCGCCCACTGACCAGGACCGGGGGACACAAAGCCACCTGCCTCCTTCTCCCTGCCCCGGGATCAGGCACCACGTGAAGGCCCTTCCCCACATTGAAGAATTGCAGTGTTCTCTCCTAATGAAACTGTCTGAGCTCTGTGTGGTCCACCTCCATTCTGCCCACTGCAAAACCTTCATGAAGCAACCTGTCCTCCTCCTGTAGTCCTGGGACTTGAAGGTGCTTTTCCACTTAAGCTTCAGTGGCAAGTTGGGGCACAGAGGAGGCAACTGCATGACCCTCTGTGGAGCCCCAACTTTTGGGTATTTTGTGACGCTGGGCTGAGAGCCACAGGCTCTTGAAGATGTCTATTCATTGGCATTCCCTAAGAGGGTGTCTCTCCTCAGGCCTGCATTCTTCTCTCTTCCCCCAGAATGATGCTTATGAATGGGCCCGAGATCACCGCGCTCACCACAAGTTCTCAGAAACAGATGCTGATCCCCACAATGCCCGACGTGGCTTTTTCTTCTCTCACGTGGGTTGGCTGCTTGTGCGCAAACACCCAGCTGTCAAAGAGAAGGGTGGTTCGCTAGACTTGTCTGACCTAAAAGCCGAGAAGTTGCTGATGTTCCAGAGAAGGTGAGTGGGGTGGTGCTGGAGCTGGGTGCCTGGTGTTTGGGGTCCCCTCTGTTTTCTCCTAGGGCTTGTAGACATAAGCTGAGAGATTTACTGGGTTTGTATGTTCAAAATCATAATTTAAAACTCTAGTTTTTAACAACACCCAAGTCCACAGTCATACACTATTGTTCCATCTGACCTATCCTAGTTAACTAATTAAATTCAAGTTTATTGACTTAGGAAGTCATGCTAAAAAGACAACTCTGGCATAGTCCTTACCTTCAAAGAGTTTGTAGCCTGTTGGGGAGTGGAAGGATAAGCCAGGTGTCTGAATGACTATGACACATGGCAAAGTATTTTCTGTACCAATAGGAGGCACGGAGGAGAAGGAGAGTGCGTGGGGAAGGGTTTATGAAGAAAGTAGCTTTGCAGTCCACTGCTGGGTAGAGAGTTTCACAGGTGCTGCGGGCAGAGGGAGAGACAATGCAAACAGAACAGAAGGAACTGAAGCCTGGGCATGGTCCAGCAACAGAGTCCTTCTGCTTGAAGTACAGGGTGTGGTATAATTAAGACTAGAGAGGGAGACTGGTGCTATTCTTGGAGAGTCTTAAAAGCAGGTTTAGGATTTAATTCAACAGGCAATGGGGATGTGTCATGGTTGGAGGTGTGCTTCAGAAGGGTCACTCTCATGACAGCCGAAAAACCAGTGAGCCAAAGAGATGAGAAGCAGGGCCACAAGTTAGGACGCAGTGAGGATCCATGCAAGGGCAGCAGTGGTAAGAATGGGAGGGAACTGGATGCAGGAAAACCAATGACGGAAGAACATAAGGCTTGACTGCTGAAGAGACGTGTGAAATCAAGGCAGCCCAACCCAGTGATGATGGACGTCAGGTAGGTCTGAGTTCTCCCCCCGCTGACTGCGTATGGTCTTTCCACACAGGTATTACAAGCCCGCTGTCCTGGTGATGTGCTTCATCATGCCCACGCTAGTGCCCTGGTATTTCTGGGGTGAAACTTTCCAACACAGCTTGTGCGTTGCCACTCTCTTGCGTTACGCCATTGTGCTCAATGCCACCTGGCTGGTGAACAGTGCTGCCCACCTGTATGGATACCGCCCTTATGACAAGAACATTAACCCCCGCGAGAATCTTCTGGTTTCACTGGGAGCTGTGGGTAAGTCCACCATCCACAGCAAGACCGCATCTAGTGGTCTGCTATTTAGGGTATTAGGCTGGGAACCAGGAAAACTAGATTAACTTGTTTTATGGCCTCTTTTTCACTCTAAAACTAAGGGGCAATATATTAGAAAACTCTTGAGAGTCAGGCAACAAGCCTTATATAAAAAGGAAAGGGTAAAAAAATAACAATGTCTTCGATTCCAGGTTCTAAGACCATCCCCAAACGCTGTGTGCAATGAGTCCCTTTGGGTTTTCCTCTTTCCGGTCATCTGTGGGCTGGACTGCAGTCTTGTTTGGGGCAGGGCGTGTATCAACAGACGAAACGGTTTTCTGGGTGGCTGGTACGCCTAGTGGCTTATATTTAAATATGTCATATAAAATACAGAATTAATACTTGTAGTTTAATTCAGTACACTTTTATCCCCTGGCTGTATCCAGACAGGCCATTCCTGAGGTCTGTGTCAGGCTTCACCGCTCGGTGCTGCCAACGGGAAGCGTATCAAAGCAGCTGTTGGTGGCCCTTTCCCACCACCGACCCTTCTTATCCCCTGTCCTTGGTTTTTTCTCTCTTCTGCTTTACTCTGTGCTAAGAACACCTCCCCCGCCCCCACCCCATACAGCTTAGGGAATCCCCAACACAGCAGTTAGTTTGATCGAAGGGGCCTGCTTGCTCATCTAATGCTCACTATTCATGAATTTATTTCTCTGTATAATTTGAGTCCTAAAAGCCAAAGTCTAGGACAGCAGGATTCTGTCATCTGTCTCCTTTTTTTTTTTTTCTGTCACTCTTTTTTGACTAAATATAGACTTGACTAAGGTCTGGAATTAGCTTTCCTTGAGCGAACCCAGGGGCCTCTTGTCCCTCACCAGTGATCAGCACCATCGGTCACCCAGCATTCCCAGGCCACCTCACCACTGCACATGTTTGTGTGCGGCATGGCCTGACTTTTGCTTTTTTCTTCTTAAAATCTTCCTGTATATTCTCAACCCTGATCGTCTTCACAATCCGTAGTAGATGCATTTTATTTTTTCCTATTTCTTTTTTAATTTCCTGCCTCTCCCTGCTCCTTTCAGACCCCTTCAACCACTGTGTGTGTCCTTACTCTGAACCATGTTTGAAATACATCACCTAGGCCATGTAGGTCTGAGATTTTAATAGAAATGGAAGTTTCCGGAAGGAGACTTGGCTTGTGTTGCAAATGGATCTATAGTGGGCTTCCCCAACCGCAGCCCCATTCTGACCCTTGGTGTAAAGGGGCTCCAGCATCTCACTTTGTCTCAGTGACTGATTTCTCCATACCTGCTCCTTTCCCCCCTTATCACCACACCCGTTGTTTTCCTCTAGCTCTGCTTCCTGCCTCTCTAATCTTTTCTTCTTGAATTACCTCCCCCACAGTCACATGCTCGTCTTCTCTCTGCCAAAGCTGACCTCCCTTGAGTCTTTCTTGGGCTGTGTCTCGCTGCCCCAGTTGCAAAGTCTTGACCTTCTTCTACCCATTAACCCTCTTTCTCTTCCCCCACCCGCCTTGACCAGGTTTGAGTCTGATTCAGTTTTAAATCTGATAAGCATAAGCCTGGTTAGTGCTTTATACACAGCCTAGCTGCAAAGCCATTTATGGAAATTAGCAATCCTCTGTTAGTACCTTTAGCCTTGGGATTATTCGGCCCTCCTACTTAGTTCACACTGTGTCTCATCCAGTGTCACACAGAGAGAACATACCTTGAGATAACCTGGATGGTGTCATTTACTTTGTAGGACTTCCTTTACTTGCTGGTTATTAATATCATTACTGCTCTACTGAGGTTCTTTTATCTTCAAAGGGCTCAATATGCTCTTGTATTAGCTATTCTTTACCTGGCTTTATCTGGACCTCATAAGGGTCAGTATTGTTATTGTTGAATGTGATTCAGAAAGAAGAGTTCTGCCAAAGGTTGGAGAACTCTCTGTGGAGTTTCCAAAGTTTTACCCATTACAGAAATGATCATGAGTCCAGAATTTCTTTGTTTTTCCTTCATTTAGCAAAGTGAACTGCTTGTCACAGAACTTTAGAAGTTGGAGGGAACATATAAGCATCTTGGTTCTGACTCCCACAAAGACCTTCTGTTTTCTCTGCATCACCACCACACCAGGGTCAAAGTTCAAAGAATTCCAAGGCAGAGAGTTTGCCAAACCAGTCAGTGGTGGCTGAAGACACTTGAACTCTTGGGCTGGGCCTCCTTTCTTTGACTTTTGGCTGTTGCTGCCCAACTCTGTTGGTCTCTCCCACCCTTGGAGGTACTACCAGTGCAGGTGTATTCCTTTGCTCACCTTTATAGGAAACACAGCAAAAGTTCTTCATTTTGGACTCTCCTCTTCCTACCCTAACACACGCACACGCATACAGAGCCTTGAGGATCTCAGACCAATATTTAGTGAAGTTCTGGAATTTTCCAATCCAAAATCCACTTCCACCAGGAGCAGTTTCTTTTTGGTCATCTTATCCTCTAAGAGAAACTGCCAGTCCTTTCTGCCCAAGGGCTTCCAGACAGCCATGGGTGACCGGGGTCTCCCCATTCATTTCTTAAGAAGCCTCTGAGCGGATCTATTTGGTTCAGAGTAGAAGAGACTGGTTTCATTCATTCATTCAACAACAGCAAATTTGCACTAGGTTGGAGGTCTTCTGCTAGCTAACTGGTGTTTGAAGATCAAGAAGACGTCAATTCCTAGTAGAGTGCCATAACTTTTTCTTTGTCTTTGTTCCAGGTGAGGGCTTCCACAACTACCACCACTCCTTTCCCTATGACTACTCCGCCAGTGAGTACCGCTGGCACATCAACTTCACCACATTCTTCATCGATTGCATGGCTGCCCTTGGTCTGGCTTACGACCGGAAGAAAGTCTCCAAGGAGGCCGTCTTGGCCAGGGTTAAAAGAACTGGAGATGGAAGCCACAAGAGTGGCTGAGTTTTGGGTCCCTTGGGTTCCTTTTCCAAAAGCCAGCCAGAGGCAGAGATTTAATGTTCTGTTTATTAACTACTGAATAATGCTACCAGGATGCTAAAGATGATGAAGTTAACCCATTCCAATACAGTATTCTTTTAAAATTTGAAAGTATTGAAAGCCAACAACTCTGCCTTCATGATGCTGAGCTGATGTTCTTCTTTCTTCTCTTCCCTGTCTTCTAGACCCATTGTTCTCTGCTTTGCTCCTGTCACCTGCCTTTCTCTTCCCTCTCATTGCCTCCCAGACAAGTAGCTGGTGAAGCACTAGTGAGTGTCCGGCTGCTGAAGACTAGGCAACCTTTCTATCACCCCAAACCAGTAGTTTTGTCCCAGCTAACTCTTTCCATAAGCTGTCCTGAGCTTCAAGGAAAGTGGCTCAAGCTAGAAGTTTGACAAAGTCTTCTGGGAAGAGCCCTGTTCATTATCTTCATTCCAGACTTTTGCCAGAGGGAGTGGAAAAAACAGCTTTATTTGGCACAAAGTTTCTAAAGCAGGTGAATTGTCAGGGGAGAGAGTTAGCGTGCATGGTATGATTGATAAGTAAGGGTGGGGTGAGGTAGGAAATAGAGCAAGAAGTTCCTGATGGGATCAAACACACAGCGGCCTGCCCAAAGAGGACATTGAACCCCAACACACAACATGCTTCCTTTCTCCCCTGACTCCGAGTAGGGAACGGCCATGGAGCTGGCAATGCAAGAACACAAGCACATCTCAGTGTATCGATAGAGTAAAGGCTGGGGATAAAGAAGAAGCATTTAGTTTGTAGTAAAAGCTGTCTTTGATGGAGAAAGATTTTTTTTTCTTTAATAACAGGAAGATTTCTTATTTTATATATCAGGACGTCTTGAGGTTGGTTGTTTCCAGAATTGGTGAATCCAGCAGCTCGTGGAATCATCAAAATTCTTTCAACTTTCTGCTCTGCCATCTGACTGTTGGGATATTGGTCAGCCCCTCATGGTAATAAGGTAGCTATAACATTTCCAGACACCCCAAGATGGATAGGTTTTTAGGAGATAGGTCAAACATAAAAAAGTATGTATACAGATATGCTTTGCTTAAAATATTAAATAATTCCTTAGAGTATTTCCCTCTGAAAGAGGGGTGCTTGAAGAAGAGGAGGAATGAGCATCCCCCATTGCCCCCCATTGTGGGACAGGAGACGGAGAGGTTGAGAAATGGTGTGTTGGCAGCTTCCGAGAGAGAACATCACAGGAGAAGGGCTTTGAGAACACATCTGGGGGTTTGGATTCCTGTCAGAAGGCTACTAAGTTATTGGGTGTCCTACTGTGAAAGCTGGTTATGCAAACAAGTTAGTTATCAGGTTCATTCATTGACTCAGATTTCTGCTTGGCATTGGTAAAAACTAGAAGGTTTCTCACCACAGTTTCAGACCATTGCATTCATTTCTTTTTTGTTAACAACTAGCTCAGCGATTTTCAACCTTTTCATCTCGTGGCGCACTCGAACTAATTTCTAAAATTCTGTGGCACATCAAAAAAATACATTTTTTGCTGATCTCACAAGGAAAGATAGGCATAATTTGATTCATTTACACCAGACAGCTATTGTCGTGTTGGCTGTTGTCATTTTTTTTATTTGACAATCTAAGGGAAACGAGGTCGGTGACCCTGACTAAATAGGCAGGTATTGCATGTTTTAAAAATTCTTATGGCACACCAGTTGAAAATCACTGATCTAGCCTAGAGTATAGGACTGCCTAGGGGCAAGTAGATAGAAGTCCTTTAATTACCCTGGTTGTGAGTTCCTGGCTCTACCCTGTCTGTCCATTTTCTCCTACCGGTTCTATCTATCCCCTGATGTTTTCTTTTTCCCATGGACAGGCAGCCTCCTTTGTGTATTCAGAGGCAGTGATGGTTATTGCTGTCCAGGCAGACAGAATACTCAGGGTCACTGAACCACTGTTTCTCTTTATAAAGTTGAGCTAGCTGCCACTTACGCTTGGCCTCTAGAGTCTCTCCACCTACGCTTCTGTGATCCCCTGCCACACTGATGACTCAAGACAAGGCTGGCAAACCCTACTAGAAATATCCCCAGCTCAGGCACTCTCTCTGATGAGGCACAGCCAAGCCAAACACTTGCATCATGCCAGTGAGCCAGCCACGGAGCAAAAGAGAGTTTGTCTTCACTCTCCTCTGTCTGGGTCAGAACCAGGGAGCATGCTGGTTGCCCCTTGCTTACTCACTTACCCTGCCCAGCTTTAGTTTGTGCTCCCAGCTGACTGCAATGCTGATAAAAGTAGGAGGGACCCTAGTCTTCACTGGGAAGCACAAGAAACAAAAGCAAGTCCCAAAGTGCCTCACTCGGAAGGAGGCCCTGTGCGGTCCCTGGAGCCAGGGTACACTGCAAAGCTTTAGCTGAAACCTGGGGTCTGAGGTGCCATGAACTTTGCTGAACAGCATCTCTGTTCAGCAAACTAACCAGCATTCTCCACAATAGAGGTGAGGGTAGATGATAGTGTAGAAGAGGTCTGAAAAAAAAAAATCGGTGTTTTGAGAACCTTGGACCGCTCCTCCCTGTACCTCAGTCATCAGTGCAGAAGCCTGGCTCTTCTCTGCCAAGATTGGAAATGTACAAGAGCAAATGCTGTGTCTGCTGGTGAATCCCAGTGGCGGAAGGGAGGGGGGCGTTTCTTGTAATAACTGGATAGATGCTACAGGAGTCAGCATGAGCTAAAGGCGTCTTTATCTTTTGAGCCATTCCTCTCAGTAGAAAGGAATCTAATGGAAGATCACTGTAGTTTCAGTCTGCTGACCTGTGTGCTTACCTACCCCTTGGAAATGTCTTGTTGGATAGTTTTAATTCCACGGGTCATCAGATGCCTGCTTTATAATTTATGGTCAAAGACAACTTTATCTTTCTATTCTAATGGCATTCCATAGATCTGATCCACACCATGACCTTACACAAGGCTGGGCAGGGCCCTCGGGCTGAGGGCCTGAGTGTGTGTGTGTGTGGATGCATGGGTTTCAAGATTCTAAAGCTGAATTCAAATGATGCATTAATAATCCAGAAATCAGACCTGATTGAGTCTGAATTTCTAACAGTCCTTGCTTTGTGGGCGTACTGACAACTTATTTGGGTGCCTTACATCTTTTCTAATCAGTGTTGCATATGAGCGTGCTCTCACTCCCTCCTTGCTCCTCCGTGGAGCTCCTTTGCACCTGAGAGCCCCCAGAAGTGGCTGGTAGGAAAGGGGGCCTGGCTGGAGAATTAGCAGTAGAGCTGTTTGCAAGATTCCCTTCTGGGCTTCATTTTGGAAACTTTTCTTGGGGTTGTGTTTATTAAGTGCCCACATTTTTGATGGTGAATGGAAGTAATTTGAATGTATTTGATTTATAATTTTTCTTTTTAGGTTAAAAGATGGTTGTAGCATTTAAAATGGAAACTTTCTCTTGTTGGTTTGCTAGTGTCCTGAGCGTATTCTCTGTAAGTGTAGCTTAAATGGGTCAGCATGAAAGGTTAAAAAAAGCAAGATGTCAACGTTACCTGGGTGGTTAAGGCCAAGGCCTCTCCTACCACTGTGCCACTGACTTGCTATGTGACCCTGGGCAAGTCACTTAACTATAATGTGCCTCAGTTTTCCTTCTGTTAAAATGGGGATAATAATACTGACCTACCTCAAAGGGCAGTTTTGAGGTGTGACTAATGCTTTTTATAAAGCATTTTGGGACCCTTCGGCAGAGGAATTCTCTTAAGTCCTAAGTATTTTTATAGCAGTATCCACCGTGAATTTGTGTCCACCCAGAACCGTACATCCCAGAGGCTATCAACCTATCTGGTTCTCTGAGAGATTGAATAAATCCATTGGATAAGTGGTGGAAAACCAGCCAGACAAAATTTGAGGATGCATTAAACTCATTGCCATGGAAACATAGACAAGATATCTTTTCTTTGATTGGGTGGGATTTTTCCTTTTTTATGTGGGATAGTAGGTATTTGTGACCTAAGAATAACTTTGGAATAATTTCTATTAATGACTCTGAAGCTAGTTATACTTATCTGAGATGTGTTTGTTCATAATAAAAGTGAAGTGAATCTGATTACACTGTCTGGGAGTTTTTTTTGGCTGTGATTCAGTCTCCTGGGATTTATCTCTGTGGTCTGCCACGGTATCTGGGTCCTATTCCTGTACCTTTAAGAGTGAAAAAAAGAAGTAAGAGCTACGATTGACTCATTCCCCAGTAACCTGCCCTGTCCTTCCTAAGGGTAACTTTAGGTTAAACTCAGTCTTGGCAGCAGGAAACCAGGAGTCTGGTGCTATTAAGCAGAACACATTAACACCAGCTGACACTTTGGCCCTGGGGAAATGCCAGGTCTCTTGTGTGTCACATGGTCACATGGACTCAAGAGGAAGTTAGCAGCAGGAAAAATACTCCAGGAAAGCAGTTTTTTTAATCTTGCATCCTAGGCTGTGCAGTCCAGGTCCTTCCTCCGAAATGTAGTCCTACTCTGAAATGAAGTAGCTTCCTGGAAATGCTGACTAGTAACAGCAGGAAGAAAGGAAGAATGACCCAAGGGGAGATTTGTAAATTCCTGGAATAAAGAGGGCTTCATAATCAAGGTGGAAAGGCTTTAGCTTTTACTGTTGTATCTAGGAACCCTCATGTGGGAAAGAGGAGGGTTTTTTTACAATTTGAAGAAGCTCCATCCTCTAAGAGCAGCCAACTTGACAATACCTAGGCTTCTAAGAGTTTCCTAGAACCAGCTCTCCTCACTTTCTCCTGTGAGGTTGCCCTCACCTTGGACAAGAAGCGAGATTCTCTCAGAGTAACTCGGCACATCCTAACTCAAGTTTTTTTATTTTCTGTTTTTTTTTAATTTATTTTTACAGCAAGGGGAAGGGAGGGAGAAAGAGAGAGAGAGAAACATCCATGTGTGGTTGCTTCTTGTGCACCCCCTATTGGGGACCTGGCCACAACCCAGGAATGTGTCCTGACTGGGAATCGAACCTCTGCGACCCCTCTGGTTTACAGGCTGGCGCTAAATCCACTGAGCCACACCAGCCAGGGTCAAAATCAAACTGATGTTCATTGATGCCTTAATAATTTAAGGATGATGGTATTTTCTTCATCAATGTCTTGCTTTCCATTCCTTTCTCTGTCTTGCTTAAAATGTTCAGGCTGGACCTTTTAATTTTTTTTTTCAATTATATAACTACACTGTTCCTTCCAAGTCTGCTTTATTTCCCATTAACCAGCATCCAACCCAAATAATTTATCCTCACTAAGCTCTGCTACTTTTCATATTCTCCTGCATGTTTACCTAGCTGTCTTCCCTCTGGTTAGATCTACCTCTATGCTTCCTCCAGATAATCCGTATCTTATACCTTTGCTATTTTGTCCTGGGGCTGTTTTTATTCCTATTTGCAAATTTCCGAGAAGGAAGAGGGAAAGGAAGAGTTCTTAGAACTTGATTAATATGTTCAGTTGAGTTCAAGATTGAGAGGGAAAGGGAACTAGGTATGAGTTTACCTTTAAGGGTAAGTTGTAAAGTAAGAGCATTTAGGTGGAAAGTAATGAACTCTTGTTTTTGACATGTTTTGTATGGAAAAGGTTAAGCCTCTACTTAATAATCAAGATTTAACCACAGGACGAAGGATAAAAAGTAATTTAAGAAAATAATGGGGAAGAGCATAGAAATAAAATTCCTGAGGCCCAATAGCCACCAGTTTTCTCCCTCTTCCCTAGAAGTAAAAGATAGTCCTTAAAAAAAAATCTGCCAGGCTATAAAAAGAAAGAAGTAAAACTATCTCTGTATAACATGATTTTGTGTATTAAGAAACCGTACATAATCCACACAAAAACTCTTAATAATAAACAAGTTCAGTAATGTTGCAGGGTACAAGATCAACATATGAAAATCAATTGTATTTCTATAAACAACACTGTGCAAATGGAATGAAAAGAATTCTATTTATAGTACCAAAAAGAATAACATAAATAGAAATGACTCTAACAAAAGAAGTGCATAAGAATAGTACATTGTAAACTACAAAACATCATTAAAAGAAATTAAAGAAGACCTAAATAATGAAAAGACATCTCATGTTCATGGATGGGAAGACTTCAAAGTTGGTAATACAACTCAAAATGATCTACAGATTCCATGCAATCCTTGTCCAAATTCCAATTGTTTTTTTTTTAACAGAAATAGCTGATCCTAGAATTCATACAGAAATTCAAGGGACCCAAAACAAACTTGAAAAACAGGCAAAGTTGGAGGACTCACATTTCCTGCTTTCAAAATTACTTCAAGGGGTCGGTAACCAAGACAGTGGCTGTGTGTATAAGGACAGGCATGTGAATGTGGCAGAACTGAGAGTGTAAAAGTAAACTCAGACATTTACAGACAGTTGACTTTGACACAGGTGGCTAGACGATTCAATGAGGAAAGAATAGTTTTTCCTCTCCTCAATACTGTCCTTCTGTAATCTCTTCCTAGGTTATAGCTTTTCTGCCTAGTTTCACTCTAAACTCTTTGGGTCTCTATTTCTTTTCAGAACACCACAATCCTTATTTCCCACTGTTTACTGGGTATTATTTCCATGTGGATATTCTTGCAATTCAAACTCCATGTGTTAAAAATTGAAGTTATTCCCTTTCCAAAGTCTGCTTCTTATTATTTTTTAAATTTTACCACTTATACCTTTCCAGCCACTCCAGCTAAAAACCTTAGTCATGTGTGACTCCTCCCTCATCTCACATATCCAATCAATTAAATGTTACTGCTTTTAGTCCATAATGCCTCACAGCTTGTGCTGTTCCTTTCTATTTCCCCATTACCATCCTAGGTTTTAGGTCCCAGGACCTTCTAACTGACCTTCTAGCCCTGTTCTGGTCCTCCTTTGATCTGCTTTTGATATTGCCACCAGAGTTAACTTTCTAAAACACAAAAGAGAAATTTTTTTTTTCTTCTCTTGCTTGCAAAATACCTGATGACTCCCTATCGCTTACAGACACCAAGTCTAAACCTTCCAGGCAGGCTTTCAAGGCTTCCTTTCTCCTTTCCCCTCCCGCTCTCCCACTCCACTTCCCTGCTCCGGTTACACCAGCCGTGAACGGTTCCTCCAACACACGTTCCTGCTTCGGCCCTATCCTGTGGCCACCCAGTCTTGCCGGTTCATTGCTCTCTGGCCTCTAATGTGATAGGTGTTTGCACTCTTGTAGACAGAACAGAAAACCACTCTGCCTTCTGGCCTGTCCTGGTTAGCAAGGTCTCACCTCAAAGGTAATTGTGCTTTAAGAACTCATAAGGCTAATCCAGAGTTAGGGAGGGGCTCGGCAGTGAGGGAGGCTAAAATCTCTCTTTATATTTCTTTACAGCAGACAAGCATTGGATGTGTGCTTGAAAGGAACACTGTTCTCTACTGCGATGTAAAACTCTCCTAGAGGTCTGTTGAGCAGATGTCTCTGTAACTGGACAGCAGATAGTTCAGCATTTTCCCCATTCCAGAGAATAGCGCGATGAGATAGATCTAGGAGTGGAGAGCTCTGAGTCAGCCTCCCCTCCCCAGAAGGGGCTATAGCCGAGTTGATTCAAAGAGAGAGAGGCTGTACGGATAGCACCTCCTGATTGGAGCAGACGGAGTCAGACAAGCTTGGGGGCTGCTGATTGGCTCCAGCAGGGTCAGGCGCTACTGAGCTGTTGTAAATGTAAATAGCTCTGTGACCGGCAGTAACCCCGCTGAGAGGGGGTGGAGAGGGAGGCTCTTCCTCTTCATTCATATTTGCTACGAGCCAGGCCCAGACAGGCAAGCCCTGTAGCGGAGGGGGCTGGGCAGGACCAGGCTAGAGGTTGCATCTTCGCAGATCTTAAGCTTCAGTTGAGAGTTAAAACGCCCACCGGCAGGTCTGAGCCGGCTGGCAGCTTCCGCATGGAGCTCCCTCTTTTCTGTACTTAGCTTTGACTATTTAAGAGGGTTTAATGGCATGTTCTGTGCGAGGAGGAGGTGCTGGAGGGCGCTAGGAGGGTAATTTTATGGTTTAACATTAATGGCTGTTGTGGGTGTGCCACTGGGAGATGGGATCCTGTCCTGCCTGTTCCTGGTCAAGGAATCCTATCTGTGGAAAGGGCGAGACTGGAGGCAGAGGGTACGGCCAGAAGGGTTCTGCTGCGTAGCTTCTTCTGATGACAGTCTTTCTATTAGAGGTACACCTTCTACCACCTATCTACGCCAAGAGAAAGGGAAATCTGTGGGATCTGGAAGTAGGGAAGAGGCAAGGAACAAATGGGTTCAAGAATAAAGGATGACCTGCACACACCGCTTGTGGGGATGTAAAATGCTGCAGCCATTGTAGAAAAGTTTGGTGGCTGCGCAAGAAGCTAAACAGTAGAATTACCATTTGACCCAGCAACTCCATTCCTAGGTATATATCCCCATGAATTGAAAACAGGTACTCAAATACACAACAGTGTTTATAGCAACACTAGTCACAATAGCCAAAAGGTGGAAACAATTCGTGTTCATCCACAGATGAATAGAGAAACAAAATACAACAAAATAGTATTTGGCAATAAAAAGGAATGAAGTACTGATACATGCTAAAATGTGGATGAACCTCCAAAGCGTTAAGCCAGACACAGAAGGTCATATAGTATAGGATTCTTTTACACAAAGGATCACGAATAGGTGAATCCATAGAGACAGAAAGCAGTCTGGTGGTTGCCAAGGCCTGGGGGGGGGGGGGGAGAAGAAAATGGAAAGTGACTGGTTAACAAGTATAAAGTCATCTTTGGGGGTAACAAAAAGGTTTTGGAACTCGATAGAGGTGGTGGTTGCAGAACATTGTGAATGGTCTAAATGTCACTTTAAAATGGTTAATTTTGTTATGTAAATTTTCTTCAATTTATGTATGACAAAAAGACTAAAGGGTGAATTCTCACTGCCTGCTGTTCAGAATTCCCTCAGAAAGGACTGGAACTGTAGTAATGAGGAATCGTGTGCCCTCCACTGCCTTTCACTTTCAGTCTCTTCTTTTCAAGTCTGACAGGACCCTGGCTGTGAACTGCTCCTATGGGAAACGGCCAGGAGGAGAGGACT